CTGGAAAAAACAACTTAAACAACCAATTTGTTACTCTGTTGTAATTTATTGAATAGGTTTGGCGATCACAAGTTGTTAGTGCTATTAAAAATTGTCTCCAAATAATTGTGAATTTCTTGCAATTCAGAACTCCTTTTTGTAGCTTCTCTTCATGGATGATACATCCGTTTTTGCCCACGGCTCCATACGTGGTGAGTTGTACGACATCATTACTCTGTGTCCTTCATGAAGTCGTATGAGGGACAAGACATACGGATTTGAACCAAGCTTTGGGTCTGCAGAGATGACCTCGTGGTACGGCTGCATGGCCGACGTGGTGTAGAAGAGACTCCAGCCCGCCTAAATCGAGAATTATACAATTATCTAAAATTAGCTATCCTTTCCGCGTCCTTTTCAGTCAGTAGTCCTAGCTAGCTATCATAAAGCAATTAGTGCAACAATGGAACACCCATGATTTAATCGTTTTGTTCATCAAAACTGCGTGCAAATGGGGGCAAACTTTACCTCAACTGTAGAACCAGCCTGCCTACTCTCAGGTCCCTGAACCTCGGACTTCAGGAGAGGGTTAGTTGAGGAGGCTTTACTAGACATCATGCACAGAAATAAGGGGAATGGGAGAGGATTTATGTGGCGGAGAGTCGATGTCTCTCTAGGAAAGTACGTTCACCCTCCGCACGTTCTGGTTCGTGTTCGAATCCATTTTCCACCTCTTCCCTATAAAGGCAGACTTAAACACACTAGCATATATTACACCAACTTTTGTGATTTCTTTAAATTTTTTAAGGATATTGATGTAATACTTTGTTTATGTGACCGCCTGATATCAGGCGGTTACTTCAGGAGTCGCCTGGTCCTTGTACGTGTGGCTGGCCTTCGGACTAAGTTCATGCTTTATCCCTTTGTTCTCCCTGGAATACATACCTTCAGCTCAACTTAACGTCTTCTTCTACTCGGTAGGAAGTCTTGGGATGCTACAATGGGTTTCCATCCTGGGCAGGAAGGATATCTTTGATGCCATCCGTCACGCATATTCTTCTACTGCCACTGGAAGCACTGTTATGTTATTAAAGGCCGAGTTTGTCACAATTCTGTGAGACAGGTTGTGGCCAGTCCTCCCTACCATTCTTTGCTCTCTTTGTAACTACTCAGATATTCCTATCCGAAGTCAACCTAGCCTTTTGGGGGGAGAAGGATTGCCTTGAGTTCTCTACAGGTGTCATATATGCTTTTCTTCCCAGTCAAGGTTTTACACTTAGAAGTAGAAATCAGGGTAGATGTAGCTTAACCATTGCATTTACTTTCCAGTGGCATTAGCTTCCCGTTTTTTTGCGCGGCATCTGCAACATGGGAGCATTTGATATGATACCACTAAATGCTTTTCAAATGTGGATCCTACTTCAGCTTTCGACGTCTTCCGATTCAAAAATAATAAAAATGAAATGTCAAAGACGCACTTTAGCAAGTGAATTTGTAGGAGCTCTCGCGATTCGTTTGGAGGAACAAGAAAGTGGGTTCATAGCCACACCTTACTTTTCCTTTACTGTCCTCAATAGTGCCTACTTTCTCTGTATTTTCCTTTGGCATTTGAATTGTACAGAGTCTATTCGGCTGCACCAGGAACAATAAAAGCAGTTACTCCCGCCAACACAATGAAATACCAAAATTTTGGTGGCACTATTCCATCTTTGTGGCTTTAGCGTTGCGTTTATGGTCAAATCAAGGTGCCTAGATGGACCAAGTCGTGCACTACTTTTTTGCCGGCTATCCAATGCCCTTTGATTGTGCATTCAACTTGTAAGCGTTGCGCTACATGAAATTCAAAAAAAATCACAGTTGAAATAAATGTCTCAACGTGAACGGAAAGTCATATTTAAAGCAGAACAAAATGGCAACGTCTACTTGCGGTGAAGGTCAACCGCTGATTTTTATTCATTCGCTGCCTAAATAACAAAGGCAGACATGTAGATACGGTCATGAGACTATGAAATCTTATCCTAGCAAAGGCCTTCGCTCGGTCTTGTCCAATGTAACCTCGTACAATGTCACTTTCTTCAAAACCTGTCTTTTGAATTGGACACTCAAATCCATGCCTCTTCCAAGGAATGCGTCAAAAAGAACTTCCAAAAGAACTGACTGCGCAAGCTTGAGAAAACTCACGACATTGGAAGGCATGTAGTTACCACCATCATTACGTGCAAAACCTTATACAATGCCGATAAAGATGATCCATTGGGACCAGGAGTTTATCTTAAGGCCACAGCCATAAGTGGCTGTTTGTGACGTAATGCAAAGATTCTCAGGATGGTAAGAGAGATAATGAGCCAAAATGACATTAATTGTTGTTTGTACTGTTTCTCCAAACATCTAAGACTGCAAGTGAAGGAAGGATTTATCTATGTGTCAAAATAAGTAAGAAATATGTATTTCGATTAGACGCAAAGGAAAAACGAGCATTAAAAGACTGTGCAGCGGCCTATTAAAACTGTAGTGTCAATCAAGGAGCAAATGTGAAACTAGCAGGCTGATGACGGTGCTTGCTTAAAAATGGATACAAAATGAATCTGCAATGCGCTTGGTGACAATGTGTTGCAGTTGTTTCCATGTGACAGCGGCGACAGCAAAGTTGTCCCATTGTCAACATGTTGTGGATGTGGACACAGCTTTGAATGAGCTCTAATGTTGGCGGTACTTCTAATAAACTAAAGGCAGGTTTGAGATTTTGTGAAGAGGCTTGAAGGCGTTTAAGTTTCACCAAGAGAAGCAACTGTTAATAAGTGACCTTTAGCAAATCTTTGTAGGAGCTGCAGAATTCAAAAGGCGCATTGACCGCATCTATTCCGAGAAGAAAATTGCCTTCGTTAAAACAAGGTTAACATTAAGAGCGTTTGCCTTGAAAATGTAAGGTGAAAACGATCTTCTCTGTCGCTTGGCAAACCACATTACTTCGTACAAACATTCGTGAAAGTGCCCGTCGAGATCACAAATGCGCACTCACATCAGAGAAGCGTGCATTTCACTTGCCTTTAAACGAAATTACTTGTTTTGTTTGAAAACTCATCCTAATTTAACACTTTTAACTGAATGGATCTAAAAGCACAAAGCATCTACAAACCTTAGTTTTGGGATTCCCACTAACATGCGGGTATGTGCGAAGATCCCCTTCTTCTACAAATTCATATTCCATAATAAGTTGGCGGAGAATTCATGTGCGCTGATGACTATCTGAGTTAAGCTTCATTATACAGATAACTGTTTGCATTACGCTTACTCTTTCACAGACTCATTTGTAGTTCATGCTCTTGTATCCCACCTTCTCCCCAAGGCAGTCTCCACTCTGTGTCAATGGTGTCAGGTCCTCTGGCAGATCTTGAGGCACTAATACGATAGCGCGGTTTCAAACGACTTCATGCAGGATAATTGCTTAAAAAAACAACCTCTCGTGAGCATGTGTCAGTCTTCAGTATTTGAGCCATAGTTGACACAGCCGCATTTTAGTAGTGCTTGGATGAACCTAATACGTAGATTGACAGAAGCACCGTAGAGCGTAGTGGTTTGGAGGCTCATAATGTCCCTTCACAGGCCTGACAACACTTTTCATATGCAAGAGCAAGCTGACCTTGATTAAGATATTTTGCAATTCAATTCAGCTCACGAATGATCACGGCGTGATGAGCTACCTCTTCGACAACATTTCATCTTCCACACCTATACGAACTAGACACGCTGTAGTAAGGCTAGGTCAAAGAAGTATGCATAGTTTAGCTCAACTCGATTTTGAAGCTGCGTAACCGGAATCCCAAAACGATTTTGATTTTATGCCTTCCGCAAGCAAATTTCGCATCAAACCCGTTAATAATCCCAATCCCAATGCGCAACTCAACCCAAACCTTTAGCACTAAGAGTTGCTAGCGGAGCCGTTTATGCATGAAACACTAAATCGCGAAAAGGATTAACGACAGAAGGAAGACTAGAATATGGTCCTAATTACGAAACAGATCATTGCCCTCCGATTTGCCATTGTAAATAAGGCAGACACACACAAGTATCGATGTTTGGATGTCGCATTAGTATTGTACTTTTTCATGGGGCTACGTCAACCGTACATCTACTCAAAAGCTGTTCACGCCACGGACTCGGCATATCCTACAACCCTTAGTGGTAAGTGCAACGGTGGCGGAGCGAAATCCAATTTTACTACTGTATCAATTCGGACGGCTTATTACATAAATGAAATGCACAAAATTGTGATAAGTCATGACGGCAAGGCGACGACAACAATCAGCGAGACGGATATATCCTTCCCAGTGTGGGCTGGCCTCTGGGCCAGGCAATCAGCCCAAACTGCTTATTTTTGCCTAATTCATAAAACCAGAATAATGCTTGATTGGAGACGAAAAGAAGAAAAGTATTGAGATAACACAGTAGCAAGGCAGACGATAAAGTGAAACTCCCAAACTGTTTGGTTCTATGGTAAGTGTATTAAATTGATTCCAAAAATGAGAGCGAACAGCAATCCTCAATTTCAAGTAAACACAACATGCCTGCGAAAGGGTGTCGTAGTTTGAAGATAAAATGGTCTTGTGTACAAAACACAGATGCATAATCGCAAGAACGGTAATTTGTTCAAGATTCACCTCCTTTTTCGCCATACAGGAGCCGATTTAATGTCGAGCGCAGGGACCGCATTGATTTCGATTCGGCGAGACGTGCTAATAACAATAATGTAAATTTAAAATAGACAAGTAATGCAAAATGATTTAAGGCATAGACGTCAACAAAACGTCTCCACAAAGGTGGCACCAAATTAAGGCTAAGATACCAAGCCTTTTCAGCCGCCTCTTGTTTTGTAAAAACCTTAGGAAATGAATCAGTGTAAAACTTTCCGGTAGGAATGCAATATGGAGAGCTCATTTTCCGACAGTGAATGAAATTTCTCCCTGGCCCCGCTAACAAATAAGACACTCTCAAAGAACACTAGCAAATGGGCTATAACCTCATAATTATGAAGTAGCTACGCAAACGTGACTTAGAGGAAGATGGCTCAAAGACATACACAGCTGTGGATAGTCCTTGTCTGTAGCGAGTTGATTTAGCAATGCTTTGGTAAAGCTTTCCTTTTTTGGAATAGATGCCACTGCTCGTTGCTGCAAGTGTTCAATTTTCATTTGTTTCTTAATCGCTTCATCAAGCGTCAACCCTACCCACTCGGCTTCATCCCGCTGGTTCAAGAAAAAGAAATAGGGAATGCATGAGTTTCATGAACTAAACAGTCACCTAGAAACTAGGACGATTGTACGAGCCACATAGATATGAACCTCTCAACAGATTCTGTGGAGCCTAATGTGAATAGAATCAAGAAAACAAATTCATAGTGAATTATAGCAGCAATGTTTAAGATGAGTCTGAATAAGAATAACTGCCGAGACTAATCATAATGAGACCATCAACTACCGTCTAATAAAGCTCACAGGAATGATGAACTTCGTGTATTTGGCCACGATTTCGGGTTTCAAAATTTTGAATTCCGAGTCCGAAAGTTTCAACAGCATTTCACGTTTAATGTGCATACCGAGACGACTATTGACTTCGTTTTCAGGGGTCTTCGAAATGCGGTCAAATATAGGCATACCATTAGAAGGTAGTTGTCCAGGCCCTTCATACACTCAATCTGTTTCAACGCCGTCAAAGACACAATAATAAGTAGCCACCGATCCAATATTTCACTATAAAAGAGATTTTGACGCAAATCTGGACCCCAAGTCTTAGGCACTCTACCAGTTTAGCGTTACGAAACGACTACCTAGTTCGTGAACGTTTGACTTCAATAAAACCTCTAACGATACCTTCCCCACCCCAGAGACACCTCTGAGACTCCTCAGGGAAAATTATTGCAGGAGGGATGTCAAAGATTTCCTTCGGATATCTAGGACAATTACGCATAAACGAAGAACACGAAACGCAGACATCGAGCTGTTGGTAGCTTTTATGAACTGATCTTCCTCCGGTTCAATGTAATTCACCCCTAAACATGGGGCGTATCTTTTTAGGTAACTCTTCTTATAATGCTCAGGTAACCTCTGGATGACATTACGCGCATGTGGATAGAATAGAAACCTTGACATATTGATAGGCTAGCAGGAAGAAAACTGACTGCTGAGGCTACTTTTGTGCATAAATTAAGGTCAGATTTTGTGGCAGATACAGTGGATTAAAGGCACTATTAAGAAGATAAGTTCAAAGCGCAGACGACAAACTAATGCGAAATTTTGATAAACTATTTCTCGTCTGTTCGTATCCGCAAGCAAGATGACGAGTAACTATCCTTCATGCATGCAGACGAATCTATTCTAGTTTAAATTATGACTGATTTGTCTTTAATGTATGTTGGAGTTGCTGGATGTATTACATGTGTAGTATTTCAACTTTATACCAAATAAATTCTAAAATTTTGTGGTAAGCAACAAATTTGGAACCAGTGTTGTGAATTAATTCACAGCCATAGAGTTTGTAAAAATCGCCTTGGCCACTGTACCTTTTACAAGGTTGAGATGTTTAAAATGCTGCAACCAAATGTTTGCAAAGTGTTCCTAATGCCTCACATGCGAAGTTAGCTATTTATTAAAATAAGCGCATAATTCTGGAAAAGCATTGCTGTATTTTTTTAATTTGGCTTTTAGCTCGCTGCCTCATTGTACTCTATATATGTTTCCTTTTGCCTAATGGTAACGTGTAATAACAGGTCATACTTCGTCTTTTTGTTTTGGTTGGTACACTGATTTGCAGCTGTTTAAATACACCTGTAAACTTGCAAAGTAGCTGATATTAAACCACTCGATGTCGTATCCGCCAAGTGCGCGGGATACTCCTACAAAAAGTAGAAATCGGACCTCGAGCATGAGTACTGATCGGTGCGCAATATTATTTCGAGAGGCTAATAAGGTTGGTTTTCATCACCCACACTTAATGATTGTTGTCGCCTTACCTTTTGAGTGATTTCCTCCAATTCTTATTTCCAGTTTATGAAATTTAGTCTCGCGATTGCAAAATGCTTAGCACCCTTTTTTTCACTATGGCTATGTAGTTTCTTTGTTGGCTAATGGTTGTTTCACCTTCATCGTTTTCGTATGTATTTATTTTAGTCTGTGGATTCTCCTTTACCATTTAGCGTGGAATCCATAAGTGAGTATCTTCAATTTGTCGTCAATCGTCTTGTATAGCCAATGTTAATGATGCTTACCGCATATTCTTAAAGCATCATACCTCATATGACCTGATACCACTCAGTGCAAAGCTGATCGTTTTTGATATTTCACTTAACGTAAGTTTTTTGACACATTTGCTTTATCTCTGCTCAGGTCAAAAAGGGGTTTTTTGCTCTCGTATATAATGGCGTTAGGGTAGCAATACTCTGGGACTCTGACTGTCAAGAATATGTGGGTCTTCTGACAATTACGGACTTTATTCGAATTCTGCACAAGTATTACAAATCGCCCGAAATCCCGATAGTTGAGTTGGAAGAACATCAAATCAAAACCTGGAGGGGTAGTGATTGTGTTTCTTTTTAAGCCACTCGTTGATTTTATTTGTTATGCTTCTCCGTGTCAATTCAGGAATCCCCAGTTTTCTGCACCATATTGGCTTGTAAAACTAGTGTTTGGATTTTGATTTTATTGCTGTTTTGTATGGTATGGTGTTTTGTTTTTGGTCCCATATACATCACATTGTGCCTTTGTACACGAACCTCGTGAATATCGTCTCTTCTGCTGTGTTACGAGTTGTATTTTGGAAATATTTTGGTCCCTTTCAATTTTATTTACGCATTTTTCATGCTTTCGGCATTATAGTCAGTGTTTGGCGCTATGTAGAGACTTGTGTTCCTACTTTGAGAGTATTGTTTTTTTCCAAAATTTTGAGTTATCTAATCGAAGGGTTTCTGATATCTATTTACTAATGTTTCGCAATTTTCAAATTATCGTACAACTATGCGGTTGATGCGTTTTTTTAGGATCAGGAGTGTAGTGGCCATGTGCAAGTGGCTTAGTCAACTAGTTTCTGGTAGGCGATACGCTAATAAATGTTTTTTTTTCAGTTTCATATGCTAAAGTTTGTATTTCTTGATCATGAGTGTAGTTTTAAGTCTGTGTTTATCGGCTGTCTAAGCCAGTCTATATTTCTTATTATTAATTGCTTACGATGGTATTTTTGATATTACGTTATTCAGATTCACAATTAAGCTTTGGAATCAGTGTATTTTTGTGGTGGTTTTTAGCCCATATATAGTGTTATGGGGTTGCAATATTATGTGGATGTACATTTTAACATCGTATCTATTTGTCCCCGAAACTCCATTAGTGGTTGCTTTAGCGGTTTATTTTTGCCTTGTTAGAAGGCTAACTTCTAATTGACTGTTCTTCAGCATCTTTCACCTGTGTGGGCCTTGAAATACGACGTGATTTGGGGCTTAGTTCATCACACATGGTCGTCCTTGGAAATTCGGTACTCCGATTACCGCGGTTAGGGTAAACATATGTCTGAACATTATCCGGCACATGTGCGGGCTCGGTTCTGTTAAAAGATGAACCTTTTTAGTACTTAATGACAAACCCAATTGCGGTTTTTTGGGTCTTATTTCCTTTTCCGCTTAATTATCACCTCTAAATGAGCACTTTTTGCGCTTTGTTATTATTTGTTTAGCACGAACGCTTCTTGCCCAATTTCAGATACGACTTTGATTGGCTTAACATGGTTTGTAGAGCAAATGCGTGATTGCGCACCTCCTCTTATCTATATCACGCCTGAGCGGACTCTTCTGGCCGCTGTTAAAATGCTGTTGGAGCACAAAGTCCACCGTCTCCCCATTTTGGATCCACAAACCGGTAACCCGCTTCACATCCTCACTCACAAACGCCTTCTTAAGTACTTGCATTTCAATGTGAGTTCTTTGTATACTTGTGCTCATTTGTCTTCTTTCTCCCTCGCTGGATCCATCAGCATATTGGGCAGTCAGGACCCAATATGAATCCATGTAGTTGTAGTCTTAAAGCACGCGCGTTTTGCTTATCCGGATCCTGCAGTAACACTTGTTTGGAAAAGCTTAATGATAATATTGTAAAAACATGTCAACCTCTGCTAGGCTTCTTATTGAACTTTGTTGTATCTGTATCGGAGAATAATTCTTGATCTAGCTATTTAATGGTATTAGAGACGTTTTGGTCCATATCTCATCAGACACCATGCCATCTTTATGCGCAAAATCGGCTGTAATTATTTTCATAATCATAGTAAGCCGTTTAAGTTTGGTTTGAATCGTCGATTCTTATTGGATTTGCCTTAACTGCTAAATAGGTTATTAATCAATGGTTTCATTCTGCTTTGCGATTCTGTATTAAAGTATAAATTATTTGTTTTGTTTTATTTCGACTGCAAGAATAGTTTCACATCGTGACTTTAGCACAGAAAGTAGCAACACTGATGTTAGGACCAAGGAGTGAAGAACAGACAGCTCGAATAGATTGTCTAAACATCTATGTATGGCTTAATGAACGCAGAGCTCTATGAATCACTTTACTCACTGTTTTCTCTTGTTTTTGGTTCATTTTACGATGTCTTTTATTTACTTATATACGACTAATCATTATACTGTATTTTTTGGTCAGCAGCACCATAAAATTGTGTTCGGTTCCCAATCACTTTCTAGCAAAAGTAGCATTTTCATGGAAAAGTATTTTAGTACCACAATTTCGTTTGTTAAAAGCATTTTATAACCATGGAATGTAGTGCGGTCATTTTATTGAATGCTTTTACCCTAATCTAACGCCACTTTTCCCGAACCATCGTTTTTCCTATTCACTTGCATCAAATATCTTTTGCATTTTTGCATTTTTTGCTTTCTGCTTTCTCTCGTCTCTTATTTGAATGATTCCGATCGCATCTGCATGTTTCACTCTGATTTGTTGACGTTGGGCGTTGCACCTCATTATTTAGGTATGGTTTCCATACGCCTAGTTTTAAACCTACTAGCTCATATTTGCATGCCATCTCCCTCCACAGATGCCCAAGCTTCCAATGCCAACTTTCATGATGGAACAGCTGCAGAATTTACCTATCGGGACGATGCAAAATGTGGTTTGTGTGGGAACAGATTGGCCACTTCATCGTGTGCTCACGGTGTTCGTCGAAAATCGGGTTTCGGCTCTTCCTGTCATTGATGAAAATGGACGCCTTGTCGATATATACGCCAAGTTTGATGTTATTGTAAGTTTATTTACTGAAGCTCATAGCTATTTTTCTTGCCAATTTCGTGATAGTTGCAGCTGAAGAACCTTGTTTAGAAGACCTAATATTAGGATATAGTGCGTTTATTTCTGACTCATGGGTTTGTTGGGACTAAACATAGGGCTCCATTCGGCAACTTTGTTACTATTTCTTAATTAAGATAATTTTGCTTTCTTTACTATCGCATGCGCTAATCAAGTTGAGTAGGGCGATGACGCCGGAGAAAATGCGTTTTGTCTACCTTTATGCAAACCAAAATAGCGAAAAGTGTTCCATCATTCACTTACTTGAACGGCTTATGCGATTCAACACTAACGTTGCGGACATCTCTACTTCACGAACTTTACGTAACCTGATATCCTTTTTACTTCTTCACGCCGTACGCATGCCAGTACTCATAACTTTTAAGCGCTTATGCCAGGACCATCACGTGTCCAAACTATAGTTGTTGTTTATGCTTTTCACTGCATCCCTCCCTTACTCACATACTTCTGTCACAGCCTGTTGGTTAAGTATTTGTGTTGCTTTATGGTTGGGTTAATACATTTCCTTCCCTATTGATTCGCTTCTGAGTTTATCCGACTTTACGGTGCGTTTGATACGCGGGCATTGCAGTGTAGTAACGTGAATTTCACGAATTTATTTGGCCTCATTGGATATTATCCTCAATCTCATGATTTTCATGTCGACGTGGGCATTGCGATGATCTGAAGCCCATTCGATGCAGGCATGACGTCACCCGCTGATTCGATGGGTAGAGAACTCACTTTTATAGAATGAGTGTTGGATTGGAATGTGTCTGGCTGGTGTCTACATTACAAATGGAACGGCTTAAGCATTTTTTTCTTCGCCTTGTGCTCGTCTCCTATTGACTATGATCCGCAGTTTTTAATCTTGATATTTTTTGATGTTTGCAGTCTTATATGGTAGTCTGACTAGGTAGTACCGGTTTCTTGTTGCATCTACTCAGTACCAAGGGGATGTTTATAAAAACATAACTTGAATATTTTTTTTGCTGCTTGCACATGGTACTCATTTAAATTCAGCCATACGTGAATTTTGTTGTTGAATTTATTGGGAGATGTTCATTAAATTATCGGTTGCATATTTGTTCGAGGAACTGAATGCATCTCTTAAAAATAGATTTGGCTGATTTTAATCACGCGTGTCATTAAAGTGGTATTCTGGATATTCGCCATCACGTTGACAGTTCAATTGAAATTGAAAATTGTTAGGCCGTGTGCAACATTTAGAACTCGTTTAAACAATCCTTTATAAATTACACCGGGTCTACATACCATTTTATTTAATGTACTCCGCCCTTACTTGCACCTTCTCTACTCCTGATGGTCTTCATCTGATTGCATAGTTGTAGCTCTTTATTCTGTTTTCGAAAATGAAAGCAACTTCATTAATCCGTTTAATGCGGAAAATGGACTGATCTACGTTGCCCCATGAAATTTTTAAGAATGACATTTTCTGTACTAGCTAGCTACCACATTTAACTCTTATTGCGGAAGCACATGGAATCAATCTGGGCTATTTTTTAGCTTTCAGGATTCTGAACAACCCTTTATCTTGTATTGATAATATTTATTCGCAGATTTTGCATACATTGTCACGCAAGCCTTGGATGAGTCCTGTTGCGGGATAGTTCTCTCCAATTTCATTATAACAATTAAACATGGTCTCATTCAATTCCTGCTTTTTAACATTTTTATTTTGCGTTGTCAAGACTTTGGGGGTAGTGGAGGTATCATCGTACACTTCAACGGAAATGTCCTGGTAATATTAACCTTACTCGAAAATAGTCACCCATAAGCACGCGTTTTCGACTCCACCTCTTATTTATTCTTTATTCTCTTTCTTCCTTCAGCCGTGAAAAAGGTTGAAACTGTTAGCTCAAAGGGAATTTTCCTTTGCAGCAAAGTTTTATCAAACTGTTCACAACCAACTGGTTTTTGCCACCTGAAAACATCTGCGAATTTTTATTTTGTATAGCTGTTCTATTATTTGTACTGATGCTAAGTAAATGTCACAAATGTGAAAGTAAGTATACCGATTGGGTACCTTTAAATGATACAATGCTCCATGGTGCGGGTCCCCCACATCACTTTACTGTACCCTACTCTTGGTGTAGGTTTCAATTACATAATATACAGAACAGTGCATAAATTAATCGGAATGGCGATTTAATGAGTTACTTCCACTCGCATTGAATTCTGCCATTTTAGAACCTCGCTGCCACTCGAAGCTACGACAATCTCGAAATCACTGTATTTGATGCCCTACAGTACCGGCGCGAGGTTCGTCTGCCTTCTCATTTCCGCGTCTTTCTTTGCATAAACTATTCACCTAAATGTCTTATTGGGCTTAAAGGTCGGACTAAACGTGTGTTAGCCTGGTAGGCCTTTTGCTATTATAAAGTTTCGGTTAGCCTTTTATTGGGTGACGGATTTAAAAAATGGTTGAATCAACACCAAAACATATGACAGTTTTGTGCCTTAGGTACTGTTAGAACTGGTCTTTAACTTGCCTACAATTTCGTCTTCAATGTGAAAGAAATGTGGTCGACATCTTAAAATTTGGATTCTATAGATGAAGGCTAAGCTTATCTTACAATGGTGAAGGGATTTCTTGCAATTGTTCTTTACGCTTTCTGACATTTACTTTCCGCAGTCTTACAAAGAGCTTTCGTTCTGATTCACGCCTGATTTCTCTGTGTTAGTGATCATAGCAACAAAAGGCGGTAATCTTTACTTTGAAAAATAAACCCCAAAATTTGAGATGAATTGTATAACATACGGCAATAGTAAAAAATCAATCCATCAATCTGGGGCTTATTTTTCAAAGTAAAGACTACCGCCTTTTGTTGCTATGATCACTAACTTTCAAATGTATAATTTATCGCGCTCTCGGCCATCAAGACGTGCGTTTAGATACCACCGTGACAGTGGCGTTATTGCTTTCACGCCTATTAGAAGACGAAACTTCCTGTCTGCACATGAGCTTTATTTCTGTTGAAAATTATTATTTACCTCTGAATAGTTGATGACTGATATTCCTTCCAATGTCCTCCCTTCTAAATGTATTTTCTGCTTCTCTTAGCAGAAATTTTCAGGTGTGGCCACTTGCAAGCTATCCAATACTTTGAAGGAAATAATTGACACCATCGTCGACGCTGGAGTGAGTTAGCGTTTCCGATTTCTGTGCCGTCTTGATATTAATACTTCGTCTGATATGGCTCTATCTTTGTAGTTGTTCGTCAGGATGACTGACGCATTGACCCATTTCTCACTGTTTTTTTAAGGTGCACCGATTAGTCGTAATAGATGAGACCCATTGTGTTCTGGGAATCGTCTCGCTTTCCGACATTCTGCGCTTCCTAATCCAAGAGCACCCAATGGCATGAGTGCACTCCTCGTCACCATCCCTCTCTGCTCATCCACCCGTTGATGAAGGCTTTAGCATTCTCTCTATTCTCATCTGTACAGCTCGCTTACCCATTTCACAATCTGGTTAGAGCATCTTTACCCCCACGCACAGTATTCCAGGTTCTGTTCTTTCTTCCCCTCTGTATTATTTCTCTAGCGACAGTTAGGTCCACTTCCTCTTTTCCATGTATCACTGTCTCCCCCCACTCGTTCCCCATGAGCGAATTGCTAAAACCTCATGCTACCATGTTTGATCTAGTGGTAATTGCGCTAACCTCGTATGCAACAGCTTCAGCCTAGTGGCTCTGCTAAAATACGATCCACCACTCACTATTCTTTTTAATCTTGCTTTTCCGCAGTTTGGGGCTGGTACTGGAGATGCATCGTTCAATGTACTGTTCTCTAACAGCATTATTGTAGTCATGCAGGGATCAGGGCTCAACAAGTTACCCAACGTCTTCAGCTGGAAGTTTTGGCGTGTCAATCGGATGCTTACCATGCCTGTTAGGAAGGAAGTTTGTCACTAGAGTTCACCTGAAGAAACTCGTGGCGCAGAGAACGGATTAATGACAGCAAGTTTTTTATTTGAACAATAAGTTGTACATTTCGCAATAGCTTAAGCTCTACATTTAACAATGAGTTAACGTTTAAGAGGATTTGCTTTACGCGTATTGAACCAACTCCATGCAGAATAATAGCTGCGCAAATCGACCTGAATGCGCTAAATGCCAAGACCAGTTGGGATTTTTGTCGTCTTGTGGTTCTCGGTTATCCTAGGCTCGCATCAACCACTTGAAAGTGGTCCCTTACAAGTTCTAAAGATGTAGAATGCGTAGGTGTGGTCAAGATGTGAGTGATTTAGCGTGCTAACCTATAGCGGAGGCTGATGCGTCAAACACGTGCCCACGATGTCTAATGTCATCTTCTTCAGGAAGCAGTTTTATTTAATCTCACCTCTTTAGGTTAACGGTAGAGATACACAGATCCTTCAGGGATGTTTAGAAAGGTTCTCACGCTGCGGTTGGTTGCGGATTTGAGATTCTCGTCGTTCACTTTCAACGCGGGAAAGGTCTATTCTTTTTTGTACAATCATAGCAATGAAATGTCAGCAATTAACAGCACTTAAAATGTCATTCTCACCTGAAAGGCAAATGCTGCACATCCAGAATTTCAATGGCTGTACAGAACGGCCAGTTTCGCCAAGCACATTGATATTTTTGCGACATCCATCTAACGAAGTTAATGGCCAACTGCACCCTCCTCTTGATAGACTGAACACCGACGCACAGAAATTACGATTTCTTCCCAAATGTTGGTAATATATTGAAATGTTAAACAAAACGCAATGATAGGAAGGAGGTGGAGAAAAAAAAGATAGGGATAATAAAGAGTAATGCAAGACCGTGTGACAGACATCAATTCGAAGAACCAAAAGGGAGAGGAGCGTGAAATAGGGCAGAGAGGATTTCTTTAACGTCCACAGCCAGATTTGATGCACAGGGCAATGACAGCAGAGTGGCAGCACAAAAGGAGCAGACGAAGTGGGGCATCAGAGAGAGAAGAGGGAGAGGCAGGAGTGTTTAAGCAATGGTTTTAGGAAGGTCGAATGTTCCCTCCACCAAAGCCACCACCACCGACTAAGGCGGTGAGAGGTGCGTGACCAGCACGAATGGGTTTGGCAATCATGGCCGAGGGGATGCCAAAACGACCCGGCTGCCTACGACGAACCGCCTCCTTGATTCGGTCTACCTCATGTTGATAGCGCTTCCGATCCCGCATTGCGCCCTCCTTTGCCTCTTTCAACGACATCTCTAAGCTACGCACACGCTCCACCGTCGACTACAATGTAAAATGCACAAAGCTTGAAGATTATGGTTTACAATTCGCTTTTGGACGTTCAAAGTAGGGTGATAAGGCGGAATGCGTACAAACCAAAGCCAAAATCACCATTTCTCTCGTTAGTAGAATGTACACCTCGCAAAAGCCAACCACACATGCAGAGACTAACAAATCCTGAACAAATCTGGACTAAACTGGGAACTATCATCAGAATTTCATTCATACGCAGGTAAGGATATGAAACAATTTGGCCCTTTTAAAGGCATAAATCTGTGACAAGTGACACAACCTCAATCACTGTGCAATTAAAGAAACCACATATAGGGAGGAAAAACAAAGCAAAATAGGTATGTAATATAAAAGGCTATGGAAATTAGTAAATTCGGTTGACAAAACTTCGATTATAGGCCAGTTAGCCATCCAATCCACAACGCAACGTAAGGATGTGGCGCATAAGCGTGCAAGCAAATTCTTACATAGCTCGCAATCTTGTAAATGGTTCAAAGTTATACAATGGTAAAAATGACATCGTAATAAGAGAATAACACACCCGAAGTCGTTTTTCCAGTTTTGGAAGTTCGCAACGAAGTTCGGCATTATCGTGGATGAGCTGTTTGTGCACTTTTGTCAATTTGGCCAGGTTGTTCTCCAAGAAGGAGATCTTTTCGCGTTGCGCAAGCGATCCCCATTGACTAGATTCGTCCTCCTCCTCCTCACCAATGAGCTCCTTCAGACCTGCAACTTCGACATTCTCACCTTCTTGTTGAGCCGCAGCAGCCTCAGCTGCCTTGGCTGCGTTCATCCGACTCGTAGACTGATAAGTGTAAAGAAGGCAACATTCCACAAAACCACAACAAAATTAGTTAAAAGCTAATAATTGGGAGATCTAACCTTTTTAATCCTATTTTTCAAATCTTCCACAAAGAGGCGACGTAGAGTGGCGAGAGTATTGAACTCCTTAACCATAGTTTCCTCCAAAGCGCGAAGGTCTTGCTTTGACTGCTCACGTCGGGCTTCCTCCTTCTCAACAGTCTCCAGACGAAGCGTCGCAGTTTCCAACTGCTTACGCAGAGCAGAACTCTCCTCAGAGGACTTCTCATTTTGCAATTTCACATGATTCAGTTCACTAAAGTGCGAGAAAACATTACTTTCAAAAAAGCATATCATTACCCCTATGACAAACGCGAAATCAAACCCTACACCATATTCTAATAAAGCAAAAAATAGCATAAAGCTTAGTCTAAATACTGGCTAAGCAGCTGACTTTAGAGAGTTGGAGGTAGGATTCGTTATTGCTTTGCTCCAACATACGAAGAGCATTAGCACTTACTCTTTAAGTTCCTCCAATTTCTTATCCTTAGTCTCCAACTCATCACGAAGGTGTTTCACTTGTTGTGCATACTGTTCACTTTGGCGCTTAAATTCCTCATCTAACTTAACGCGGATTTCTGACTGTCCTGCAAGGATCTCCCTATTGGTTGAACTGGAGCCAGCCAATAACTGCTCGTTGGCGCGCAATTTAGCAACGTCGGCGTTCAAGTTATCGACCAGGTCCTGAAGTTGCCGTTTGCGAGAATCTGAATCATCCACTTTGTCAGTAAGGCTTTGTACCTTGGTTTCAAGCTGAATGCAATAGCAACAAGTCACAAATGATTTGCAAGCGTTCAATGCATCACTTGTCTCAAGTTTATACATTTAGTGAACTGGTAGTATACTTTGCCACCTAAAAGCTAGAAGGGTAATAATCTGAGGATGCATAAGATGGATGTAGCTTAGCTGTCCAAAAAGAATCAACTTTACCAATAACTCAAAGGGAGTTTAAAAAATAATTGGGAATCACCTCTCTAACACGAATCGCGTATTCCTTAGCCTCGTCTTCGGATTTTCTCAAGAGCTGCACGTTCTGTACCCTCTCCTCTTCCAGTTGATTGACACGCGAGTGAAGAATTTTAGCTTCTGTCCTCATCTTGTTCATGTATAGACGCATAACTGCCACCTCCTCGTCCAAACGTTCACCAACATTTACGTTCGGTTTCTAAAGATAGGGTTAAACTATAGCAACACTAATGGCAAATATATGGTTACAGATGATGACCAGTAAAAATTGATGTTATAGCTACCTATAGACGCGTGTCATAAAGCTTACTTGGAGCTGGTTACTCATGCACTCGCCGACATCAAGAACATCTCGAATGAGTGCACCTAGGATTTCCGCATACTTCTTGCGTTGGGCAGCGAGGGTGTCGCGAGCCAACTGCACCTCACTTTCCTTGCCATTAATAATGAGGGAGGTTTGAGCGAGTTGCTCCTTGATTTCCTCAATCTCGCGATCGCGGGTAGCCAGTTCGGCCTCCCGCTGGTCATGAGAGAGTGCGAGCTCTTCTAGAGCTTGCAAAATATCCTTTGCTTCCTCTTTGCTTGATTGACATTCAGCCTGAATTACAAACAAAACTCCACAGCTGTATCAAATCCACCTGTTATTTCAAGAAATTTGGCTAAATAATAAAATGAAGAACGATTGTAAATAGATGGGGTTCGGATGCTGTTTTGAGGGATGCAACGAGATTCAATTATCAACAATACGGATAAATCCTAAAACGCAAAGGTTTGACATTCCATAATCTAGGCAACTCTATCCAGGCGGTAGTCGTGGGTAAAATACTAAAAAAGTGCATAGCCTTAGGTAACCTTGCTAGCTTACATTAAGGATTAGATATTGAGATCGCAATCAATTCAAAGCATCACGCAGATGCCAAGTAATAACTACGTGATCGAATCCCATAAAAGGAGCCAAACGAATCACATGTGATGCCTCGAAACGATATACTGTGTGAGTAGATATGATTCTTTATTGCCCGTGGATATCGTCATAGCGACGGGAAACTACGGAGAAAACAAACAGAAGGCATAGGAGCACATAAGCACGCGACTCAGTCACCACGGCACCTACCCATGTAGCATTGCACCATTAGCTACCACATGAGAGGAGAAACGATCAAATCTGAAAGGAAACTATTCATTGTATCATCATAGCGATCAGCCACGCAATTCGACAGGCACAATCCAATGACACCGAGGTACAAACAATACCAAGCATTCCGCAGAGAGCTCTCAATAAGTCACGCACACTTAAAATACAGTAAACTGGACGAAATTGGTAAACGCCATAATTAGTATTCAAGAAAGCCTTGTCAGTTCACGAAATATGGACGTAGCCTTGGAAGTGTTGCCTGTTGCCGTGGAAAGAGGCTATGGATTGTGGTGGATGGCAAGTACACAAGCACAAACAGTAGTGAGCAAATGTTTTGAGTGTCTGGATTTCAGAGTCGTTAAATTCACTTATTTTGATGTTACTGAGATAATGCAGAGGAAAGACTACCTGCAGTTGGGCAACATCAGCAAGACTTGTTTCCGCTTCCATTCGGGCGGTACGAAGCATTTCCTCTTGCTCCTCTAGTTGTTGGCGCAATCGAGCAATGGTTTGCGTGTGTTTATTAATGTCATCATCCTTGTCATCTAGCTGTTGATATAGAGCATGAAGCTGTTCTTCACTCACACCAGCTAAAGATGGAACAAGATCATGATTAACAAAAATGAGATGGAAACTTTATCCTCTCGGGCCAAAGGGCCCACATCTCGCCATTTGTGACTTACCAGGTACACCGGCACCAGACGTAGGCAATTGAGTGGGTCTGCCCGCCAGAGGACCAGAGGGAGTCGTCGTGGCTGTAGGTATTAGAGGTGCACCCGTGGGAGTGTCTAGCGCTACTTCATCTCCAGCTCCCTCCTCTTCCAATTCGAGTTCCATTGCAACAACCCATTCGGTAGAGCTTACGCTTTCACCTGCGATAAAACACGACACAAAAGGCTCTAAAAGGCCGTTTCTTCTTCCGATTACACTAGCAAACTGAAAATGTGAACGCTTTGATGAATAGTGTCGCCTATATTGCGCTAAATACCAACTACCACAAACCAAAAAACGACGAACGAATTGTTTGCATAAAAGAACAGCTATCTTATGAACATTGCTATCAATATTTACAGAAGCAAAAGAGGTTCTGTGGTCATTGGCATTACAATCCAAACACCGCCTAAGAAAGTCAAAGAGGGGAAAATTCACTGATTAAGGTGAGTATATGATAAATAGGTTCCTATGAGTATAAAAACGGCAGTCCCAAAGTGCGTCACCTGCTCTCCAGCGTTTTAATTCGGCCTCAAGGCGATCGATTATCTCCTTCATGCGACGAGACTTTGCTTGTAATCGCTCATATCGTCGACGCCATTCATCTGCGGTTAATTCTTCGTTAACAGTGACGATATTCTTAATAGTCTTCGCTCGCATGCCAAACAAAAGAGTAGATTTGGTTTCGGATTCGTTATAACTGGATGGTGAAACACAAATAACCATCGTTGTCTTGGCGTTACCACCCAAGGACTCTTGCAAGATCCGCGTCAGCTTAGAGTCGCGGTAAGGAACGTGGGCCTGAATGGAAAGATGTCTCGAATTACTCAAATACGGTAGTTCTATTCAAATACGACGAACATATACACACGTGGTTGTCCACTAAAGCATTGATAACATTGCCTAGAGCTGAGAGCGACTTGTTGATATTCATAGCCTCGGTAAGAGTGCTACCCTCAGCACCAGTCTTTGCGACCTTTTCACTACCGGCTAAATCAACCAAATACAGCTTGCCATGAAGTTTCTTCTGTGTTTCCAAGTTCTCCTGACGAACCGTAATCATAAAAATTGAATGTGAGCGAGAACTGTGTTCGTTCATGTCTGTAAAATTCGAAGCAAAATAGCAAGACCAAAGGCAACACCAGTAGTGCCATTAAGATGGAATGCAATAGTAACACATATAACTTACTTGTGACAGAAACGTGACGATTAACTTTCCCTTCGTCAATAATATCAAAAACTTCAGCCGGAGTCGAGACGAACCGCTCTGTCGCACCTTTGACGTAAGGAACACGATCCTTGTCCTCATGCACGGACAAATTGCTTTTTGAAACTAAAAAATACATGTCAACCACCCTTTTCTACACACCGTCAAGTAAATCCCGAATTTTGTCCAAATATATTTCAAAATAAGAAACCTTAATATGGAATTCCAGATTCTCATCCATATGATATATGTGGTTAAAAATGTCATGCACAATTCTAGGAATGATCCCTTGCAAATCAGAATCTCCGAGAACTCCCTAGCACACATTTGATTGGGAAGAGAATCAAACCTCCATTGTATAGGTTTTGCCGCTAGCTGTCTGCCCGTAGGCAAATATTGTACCATTGTAGCCGTTGAGCACATCAGCTACGATGGGCTTAGCTACCGTATTGTAAATTTCGAGCTGCTGGGTTTTCGGTTGGAAAACATTGTCGAAAGCATAAGTTTTATCCTTTTCCTGTAACAGAGCACGCATACAAAGCTTAGTATTATTTTTACCAAGCGTATCAAGTTCGACGAGTCCGGCGGGAAGCTAACGCAGTAGCTGTTGTCCTTTGATTTCTCATTATCATTAAGCGGTCTCACACGACAAACAACCTTAATGCTCTCAGCCATCTAGACATTAAAGGTAGCAATTTGAAACACGACGCCTACTCAGGTAATTTATATTAACAAAAAGTGGCAAACTACAAATTAGGCAAACAAATCGGTGATAAAAATGTAAAGGTTCAAAATGGTTGCAAGTACGACAAATTTCGCTAAACAATCGGAAATAAAAGCGGTAAATTAAAGTAATTTAATTTCATCTCCAAGGTGAATTAAATTCCGATAATCGTGACCCTTTGAAGCTAGTGTTTTACTCTATTTTTATGCATCTCCAACTTTTCTTAAAGGACATGCGCCATTGAGCGCTTAGTCACAGGGCAACAAAGCAACATTTTCATCACTGAATCTTCAAGCAGAAAGAAAACGGCAAAAAATTGCAGAATACATATATTTACATTTAATACTTTGTCTACATGACAACATGGAGTCTGATGGTTCCTATGATACACACAAGTGGTCGCATAAACAAAGTACTACTGTTAGGGTTTAGTTACCTGACGTTTTGACCATGTCAAGACCGCATTCCTTCTTTTCTTTTAAACTATATTTAATGTGCTTAACGTGGTACTCTTTTCTACCTAGGGAAGTCTTCGAGGTCCACAATTACTGTAACGCAGCCCGCCCAACTCTGAAAACCTTTATTTCATCCTGCAACTGAGGTGGTTTGCTCTGGAAAGGTTTGTTAGCCATTTAACACTGCGTGACTCGGGATTTCGAGGTACTATCTGGAAAGCCTTTAACATAAGCTTCTTTAGACACGGGATTTACATATAATTTTGGCTTCTCTTTTTGCAAGGACAATTAGAAAACAGCGTTATCTATTGCAATTGCAACCACGTCTTTGTGTTCAGCACGTCTTCAGCGTAACCTAGATGCAACTTCAATCTAGTAAATTTATAACCTCTTTACTTCACTACCATTTTGTTATGCTTTTCCATAATGGGTTTTGGTTATTCCAAATAGCCCGAAGCAAAGCGAATAACATGGTAACCGCTCGACTAATAGGCGGTTTCACAAAAAATTGCAAATATCCCTTTCCATGGGCAAGCAAATAGCACGACTAACTCGTGTTTTCTTACCTGCAGCACCGATTACGAAGTAATGACATATGTAGTCCAGCTTCATGTCTTCTAGCCGATGAGTGATCTTGGAGGCTAAAATAATAATAATAATAATCCTCATTTGGCTTTTCAGATAATATCAGTTTCACACTAGCGCTATTTTCTGCAAGAACAACCATCACAAGATAATTATGTGTTCTTAGCAGCGTTGGCGATTCTCAAAAAACTTCAACTCCTTTTTCAGATTCCTATGTATTAAATTGTTACCCTTGTTATAATTATTCACGGTCGACAGCATGATTGTTTGTTTTTTGTGTACGAATTTGTGTAGGGGTCGTCGCCACTTAATGTTTTGGCAACTCGGAACTTATTCCTGTTTTGTTCCTCTTCCTATTAGCATAATTATCATTCAAACTCCAAAACGGGGATTCTTTGCACAATGTTCTTGAGCTCTACTTATTTTCCGCACGTCAAGCTCGACTTGGCCTTTCTACAAAGGCTAACCACGATATGTCCAGATTAAAATATATGTACAACAGAATTTTAGCGTCAAGCTTCACGTGAAATCGCTCTACATCAATAGTTGCTCAGAACGCTGCTAGCCTTCTGTGCGCAATTAAAACTTCTTTACGGATATTATTTTGCGTACAACATACGGTTTTTGCGGATTTTCCCAAATTACTTCTTGATATCCTACCAATATGAAGGTAATAATGCGATTATGGTGTCCCGTGCCGTGAGATCTATAGCCTTCCACCGGTTTTTTTTGTTTCTTAATGCATTTTGTCGATTGCTGGAGCGTGACAGAATGTGCCCTCCAAGTGATACTTCTCCTTCCTCCACGTTTAAAATGCTTTAAAAGCAATGCTTCTAAAGGTTATGCTATGCCCCCTACCAGGTTGAGCTTCAAAAACGAAGTATCTCGGCAACATCATGACTTACGGGTCAACGCAAAGCCAAAGTTCGGCGAAAGTAACGTGTGCTTCTGAAATCGGTATCGTTTTCGGCTTATTTTTTGTTTCGTGAATATGATTTTGCAATGAAGATTTGTTTAGGTATGAGAATGAAGGATCTAAGTGAGAGAATACATGAGGAAGTTGTGTACGTCCCATATCATGTGCTTATGCTTATCTGATATTTTGCTTTCGGTTGAGCTCATTTTTACATTTTTTGATGCTGTGCTTCGGAGATGTCCTTAACGTGCTTGTGCTATTCGTATCAATCGTTTAGGATGCATAGAAATACTTTCATAAATAATTTGCTGTAATAGCAATTGAGTATTTGTTGTGGGCTGGAGAGAAAGTAGGTAAGGAATGAATACGCAGCGCGCTGGAAGGGCAATTATCACACAGTTATCTCTTGTGTGTAAGACATTGAAATGTGAAATTTAACACGGTAAGAGGGGCGCAGATGGTAATGGGTTAAGTCAGAGTTTTGCACAGTGCATCTTAGCGGTTTTGTGTATGAGAGATGAGGGCAGTTTCGGAGGTGATGTGGTTATTCGGAATAAGGGAGTAGGATCGACAATACGAGCTGCATTCAGGCAGCTGGTAGTCATGCTACCCTTCCAACCGTTGCATTCAGAGGTAGTGGCCTTGTCATTTCTCGACAATCTGCATGGGACGGCATAGGGTTAACCTATGACAGTACCCAGACGATCAGCTCCACCTATTGTTTAGGGATATCGGTAAATTTGAAGTGCTTGCTTGAGTAAAAGCACATCTCTCTTTGAGTTCTATAGGAGCATGTGTAGCGTCATAATGTAGTTTTGTAGGTGATTTTTTGGAGTACATTTTCTAGCGTTGTAAAGTTTTGCTACCAGTTAATTGAAATCCTTCATAGTGCTGAATTGCAGACCAAAAATACTGAAAAGATAGAACCAACCGATTATCGCTCCACTACAATGGTTGATTTCCACAGAACTTCTGCGTCACCTCGGTCGAATTATGAGAATCGGGTAGGTTATGTGTTTTGTTCGAGACACATTTTAAGGTAGGCGAATAGGGCGCAAACATCATAACCCATAAGCTAAACCCCTAAAAGCGATGGGCTTATTGCTCTGTGGAGAAAAAAAGGGACGCAAATGTTGATGAGATTTCGGCTACAAATGTGTGGGGGAAATGCCATAACTTATCTGCTTTACTTCTTTTTATAACTAATTTGAAGACGCTGATCAAATGTTTAAATCAGTTTATGCTTACCAAATGCTGCAAAGTTAGGATCTAATATTTGGACATTTTTGTAGTTTTGCTTCCGCGCATGTGTTTTCGAAGCAAATTCAGATTAACTTTGTGCCAGTTTTAGTTCCCAAAGAACCTGTGATATTTTGACTTAATGTGGGAAAAGTGACATTGGTGAAATAGCAGGTGTGTGGTACTGCTAGTATTGGCATAACCATGACCCACATTGAAAGTGCAGCTGCAAAGATAGGAGCTTCTGCTTGGTTGAGTACACACATTGCCAACCTGCAACCTTTTGTACGGGCATTTGAGATTTAAAGATGAATGTTAAACCCTTGACATCGTTTTTTCAAGCCCATCTCAGAATTGTGGGGAGAGGAACCTGCAACGTTTTGGACTGATAACTATTCGGGTGTTACGGTAGGTTTCCATTCAGATTGGTATGAGTAGTTTTGCACTTTTTTTGGTCATTGAATGTCCCTTTGATAAGAAATGTTTGTTTGTCTCTTAGTCTCCAATTGTATATGCTGCTGTTTAGGGCATCACCCAACGTTCTGCTGGTGTTAAACCCTTCAGGAAGTGCAGTATCTTCTCAAGGTCAATAGGATGCAAGATGGACTCAACATAAATGCGCAAAGCGGAAGATTAGGTCCCCGTGTTCAATGGGACCATATAGCAAAATTGAGAGACATCGAAAAAAGCCTGTTTGTTTGACAACACTTGCAGTAATAGTGCATTGTTAAGAACATATTGTGTAGCTACGCCTCACTGCGTATTATTTCAGCACATTCAAAGCTGGTCCAAAGGAACTTATGTTAAGTCCTTCATTTTTGTATCTAAAAATTGTGAGTCAATTAGTGCTTTTTAAAGAAAGTCGTTAATCAACGTCATTGGATAGTGGCAAATTTGAACGCTTTATGTTTAATCTAGTTTTTGAAAACCGACTCAACCCCTACGATCGTTCAACATTCCAGATGTGGGACATAGATGTCTTATGTTCTGCACTGCAACAGTTTGCGATTCCCCTGACAAAAACTAAGAAATGGTTTTTGTGTGCTTTAATGTTCAGTTTTAAATGACGCCCTGATGTTGACTCTGTTTCTAGTCCTTCAAAGTACTCCAACTTCCTCCAAGTAGCACCCTCTTCGGTTGACCTCCACAGGTTTGCATGGAGGTTTTTCCGGTATGATCCCCTCATAATGAAGCTATTCGGATGAATACGCCTAAGTTGAATGTTCTAATTCGCACTCATATAAGTGTTGCAATTGGGATTTTTCAGTGGATTGGAAAGGTTAATAACAAATTGTCTTCTGTTTCATTTCATCTGTGAACGCCGTTAGAAAAGGGACGATCGCGAAATCGGTCTCTGAGTCTTTGAAAAGCCGACATTTTTAAAAGGTATAGTAGAAGCCATGGGCCGAGACATCTCGAGTAAAATTTACTGCCTTCGACATTCGGCTTTTTTCCTATCCAGACAGCGTTAGATCACCATTAAAATCTGAGAAGTCATGGATTTTAGCTGGGCAGTTGGAATACGAGATTTTGTTATTGTTGTTGACAAGACGGCATTGCCCTTTCATCCACGTCGCTTATTTGAGTGCTATCAAAGGTTGGGTACTTTTGTTTCCTTGGAAATTAGTGAAGGAAAGCCGTAAACTGATTTCATTTGAAAATTTGAGCAACAAAGCAAAAGCGAGATTAATCATGACCATAGCATTTACCTCTACTTGGTCAAATAAGGCCAAAATAGAGGAAGTAGGGCTAAAAT